TGCTGCCTTATCTTCTCCTGAGTGTCCCACTGAACGTTTTGCCCATTTTCTTATTTATTGCAAAAAAAAAAAAAAAAAGCTCCAATTACTGGTCAGAGGAAGCAGGCTGTGGCTGGTGTACAGATGGTGTACACTAATTTCCTGTGTAAAATTGCTGCTTTCTGGAGCACACCTGGGCACAGCAAAACAATAAAGTCTTTTTCTGCCACTTATCTGCATGGTGAGCTCCACCCCAGCACCTTCCGCAGCAGGACCCTGCAGGGCTTGGGCAGCAGCCAACCACAGGCCCATCCCCTGCGGGGATTTCTGTGTTGGATCGGGATGCGGCACAGGTCAGGCAGAAGCAGATCCTCCTCTGCTTCAAGGGCAGGGAATTCCACAGTACTGCTGTGATCCAGCAGCACCTGCTGCTGAGCAGCACCTCAGGCTGCTGGGACACCCTCCCCTGCTGGGACACAGCACTTGAGACACAGCTGGGGACATCATCCCTTGCAAATAAACGACCAGCACATTGGGTTTGGATTAAATCCCTTGAGCCAGCACTGAAGGATTCAGCTGCTGTGGCTCTGCCACTGTGACCCCTCACAGCCGAAGGCGTCCCTAGGGTGCTGCATCCATCTCTGCACTTTTGGAGGTGACAGCACACAGGCTCTGATCTGAGGGGGTTCTTCAGCTACAGCCTGCCTGCCTGCATCTCCAGAGACTCTGCAGGAGCTGGGCTCTTGCTGCCCAACCCACCTTGCAGGGCAGTGCTGGCTCCCAGCAGCTCTGAGTGCACCTTGGACACCTTCTGGTGCTTTGGTGTCAAGTGTTTAACTCTGCCCCAAGGCATTCATGATCCCGATCCCATCCTGGTGTGTTAAATGGAGAGAGGGCTGTGCAGGGGTTATAAATGGAAGGCAGCTGAGCCTTTTGGAGGCTCATTGTCCAGCTACAACTCATCCAGCTGCTCCAGGCTCCAATGGCTGCTCGTGCTACATGTGCCTATTAAATACAGGTTTTGCTGCCTTCAGTGCAATTTCTTGGCATCTTCAGCACAAACTTCAGTGCTGCCACTTGCTCAGCACACCCTTCTTGATGCCCACATGTCCCACCAGAGCCAGCCTGGAGGAAGGAAGGAAGGACTCTGTTTTTCTGCTGGCCTGACTAGACCCAAGCACAACACGTGCTGTGTGTTCTTAACCTCATGTTCAACCAACACAGTGACCACCTCAAAAGACCAGAAGGACCTGGATCCTTCCCGGGTTCTCTATAGGTTGAGAGCTTAGGACCTTTGTGAAGGCAAGTCCAGAATTGTATCTGCACCAAATACTTGAGGAGAAGTGTTGCATCATTCTGTTTTTGTTACTGGGTGCTTGTATAGATCCCCCCCGCAAGAGAAAGTATGGGTGTATCAGTAAATATCACAGTTACTCACATCTTCATTCCTTTCTTGCTACTCGTCATGGGCTTACCTTGAGTTTGTAGAGTTGGATCAAGTTGCCAACCAGATCTGTCCAGCAGAGTCACTTCTTCCCAAAGCAGCTCCTCCCCCACTGCCTTCTCCCTCTTTGGTCTCTGATCTTCCACACAGAGTTATTTCAACAAGCCTTTCCTCACACCAGCTCTGGGGCAGCCTCGAGTCTCTGCTTCCACCCTCTCCCTTTAACATCCCTTGGCATTTTAAGTGCAGTTAAAGCACCTGGCATTTTTCTGCTCCATTGCTGGTCGTGCCCATTCATCTTTGACAGCGCGAGGCTCTCCTTGTGCTGCTGGCACGGCCAGGCAAGGCACCACAGGCACATTTGCCAAACACCTGTCTAAGCCCAGCTTGGCAACCTGTTCTTTGAGTGAAAAAGAGCATGGGTCCCCCAGGTTGCCATCAGGTTTGGGGATGCTGTGCTGCTGACGTGTAGTAATTATCTACCTTTTGAATCCCAAGTAGCACTGCCATGACCTAAGACCTCTCAGTCTTTCCAGTTCCAAGTACTTTAGAAACTACAAACCTCCTGGGAGGAGCTCAGCGCTTCATCTTGGTAAAGGATGTTACTGGGAGCAGGGCAGAATCATATCCATGAGTGTCCAAACCACTGGAAGCAGTGCTGTCATTATCAAACTACTACTTAGACATAACAGGTGATGGTTTTTCTGGAATAAATCCAGTTTCTCAATAACAAACCCAAATTTCTGACCTGTCCGATGCACATGGCCGCTTTGGACACCCCACATTTGTGGCACTGCCGGCTCACCAGGCAAGTACTGCTCCCATGTGTCACAGGACTGTCTGGAGCAGGAGATAAAGCATCCTGGAGGTGAAGAAGCTCCGGGACAAGCAGGTCTGTGAGGTCCCAGTCCCACTCTCTTGGTCCAAAACTGACCTCTGCAGGACGTGAGCAATGCCAGCCAACACAGATTAGCTGTCAGAATGTGGTTTCTAAGCACACTCTGATCAAATTTCTGCTTTCATTAATTCTTCTTATTTAGATCCCTCCATTTCTTGCTCAGTAAAGCAGCCTGGGACCCTCCCTGCCTCAGAGAGGGGGAGAACAGGCACCTGGGCCTGGCAGGTTGGACCACCCCGCACACAGCAGAGCTCACCCCAGAGGATTTAGCCAGATCCTTGGTACAAATCATCTCCTGTTAGGCAACAATTGGCTCCCTGGGTAGAAACCAGCAGAATCACAGAATCATTCAGGTGGGAAAAGCCCTCTTAGATCATCAAGTCCAATTATTTCCCCAGCACTGCCAAGACCACACTAAACCATGTTGCCAAGTGCCATATCTACACGTCTGTTAAATCCCCACAGGGATGGTGACTTCACCACTGCCCTGGGCAGCCTCTGACAGGTCTTGACCACCCTTTCCATGAAGAAATGAAATGCAAACTAAATTTTTTTTCCAGGAAACTTAGTCCCCCAGCTGCTTCACTAAAGATTAGGACTACAACTAAGCTTCACCAGGGTGTTGCAGCAAGTCCTGCAAGCAGTAGAAGCCTCGTGGCAGTGTTTTCTATGGCCTGAATGTCCCCAAAACCAACCCAATCCCCCACAGCCCAGCGCTGATGACCTGTAGAAATCACACTGCCGTTGTAGACTCGGCTAAAACCAGACTAAACTCCAGGCCACACACCAGAGAGGCATCACTGGGGCCCCTGTGGTGGCATCACATCTTCAGCCACAGCTGGAGCCTGCACAGGTGGCAGCCCCCTCCAACAGCAGAGCATGGGGAGCAAGGTAAATAAAAAATTATTGTCCATGTTGCTAAAGATGGAGTCCTGGTACTTACACACCAGGCAGGGTGGGGAATATTCAGGGAGTGCCTGTTCCTGGTGCCAAGGTGGGAGCTCAGGCTGCTCCAGGAAGGTGTTCCTGAGCAGCCAAGGGATTTGGCAGTTGCCACTGTTTACTTTTCAGAGGGATATCTGCGGCCCACCTAAAAATTTCCACTGGGCTCCAGTGCTTGGCACAGCCTCGGAGGCTCCTCGGTTATCACTGCCTCCACATCATTTCCACCCGTGAAAACCTAAGCTGAAAGAAAGATAAAGGAATAAAAGAAGCTTTTACCTCACATGTTTCTTCTCCCCATGAATGGTCTGAAATATCTGCTTTCTTGCAGGAAGTTGAATGCAGTCTACAGGTGCCAGCCAGGTCGGCTCTGGATCTTCTTCAGCCTCCTCATCCTCCTCCTGGTCACCCTTCAAGTCGTGGAGAAGCTGCAGCCTCCCAGGTAGGTCCAAATCAGGATTGCAGAACTGCACCTCATCCTCCAGCCTTTTGCTGACCACCGAGTTGGGCTCAAAACTGCCCTTCTGAAAACCACCCAACAGGGCTTTCCTCAGACAGGGAGGAAAATCCAAGACCCTCTGAGGGTCTCACATCCCACCCCTATGCCCTGGTCAGAGCTGAGCCTGCTCTGGGGTCAGGCCAGGCTGCTCTGGGCTTTGTCCTGCCTGACCATGACACCCTACAGATCTTGAGCTCATTTGTCCCAGTCTGCGGGGACTGCAATCGTTCCTCCGGCTTCTCCAGGCAACTTGCTCTCCTCTGACTTTTCCTGCTCTTGCTTTGCCCCTTCCATCATGCTCCAGAGAGACAAAGGCATTGACACAGGCTGCTGACCTGTCCTTCTCCATAGAATCATAGAATCCTTAAAGGTTGGAAAACATCTCTGAGCTCATCAAGCCCAACTCCTTGCACCCATCCCGACTCCCCAAGGCAGCAGTGCCACCCACCCCAAGAAAGACGAGGAAACACACTTGGTGGTGTCTGTGGGAGGGCTCAGGGGTGTTCACTGGGCTGTGGAGGAGTTGTCCTCTGCACGCTCCTTCCACCCTCTGCAGCTGAGCATTGTGTCCTCCCCGTTACAGGAACTGCTGGTGTGAGGTGGAACGTGACCTGCAGCAGAGCACAGACCAGGAGCTTGGCTCTGGCCTGCCCCAGGAGGACAATTCCCTGCAGTGGCAGAGGAAAGCTGTGCCAGACCCTGCTTTGACTGAGGACCTGCACGTCAGCTGGGAGACCCCTCTGGAAAGCAGCCCAGGGAGCCAAGAGGAGCACAGGACACGGCAAACTGTGGAGAGCAGTAAGAAGGTGGAAGCTCATCTCTTGCCCACGAGGTTGAAACCCCAGCTCTCTGGCCTGAGAAAAGCAGCTAGAGAAGGTCCTTCTCTGAGCCTTCCTGGCAGGATTGCTGCAGTTTTGGCAGAACCTGTCACCAGAAAGTTCATTGTCTTTGCCAACAGACTGAGCACTAGGGAGAACAGGCAAATGTCACCACCCAGAATGACACAGGTGAAGGTACAGAACCAGTCTCAGCCTCAAGCCATGGCTTCCCCCAGCCATCAGAGGGGCAGTTCACTGACACAGCCCATCCCAACCTCAGCTCAAGTCCTGCAGGCAGAGGACTCTAACGAAACACATCTGGAGACAGGATTTTTCCTAAACTGGACAGCAGCCTCTATGGTCAAGGAGGTGACAAATGGAGGTCAGCGGGCCAGAGGAGTCGCCCCTCAAGGGAAGACGTGCGAGCCCCAGACTGACATTGTTTTCCTCAAAGTGCACAAGAGCGCCAGCAGCACCGTCATGAACATCCTCTTCCGCTTCGGCGAGACGCACAACCTCACCTTCGCCTTCCCCCTGGGCGGGGGCTTCCAGCTCTACTACCCCCACCACTTCATGGCGAAGTTTGTGCAGGGCTTCTCCCCCAAGAGCCCCCAGCGGTTCAACATCCTCTGCCACCACATGCGATTCCTGCAGCCAGAGGTACAGGCAAAGCCGTGACCGCTGGGAAGGGCGAGCAGGGGAGGGAGACAGGGGCTCACGGGGCGCAATGTGGGGCACCTGTAAAGCACATAAACTCTTCAGGGATGAGCCACAGAGAGCCAGGATTGCCCACAGGTACCTTTCACATTGTTGGCATCTCCTGAGAGCTTCTGGGAGCAGGTTTGAGGAGTCACTGTGCTGTGACCCATGACAGGATGGGAGACAGCGTCTGTAGCAGCCAGCAACTATCATCTCCTTCTTGTCTGGTGGGCTCTTGGAGATGTCCTGTTCCCTGGACAGGCCATCAGGAAACCACTGGAGGAGAACATCTAAAGTGCATCAGTTCAGGTCAGCCACGCCCAGCATCCACCCCTCTGGATGCCACTGGACAATACACAGGTCTTGGGAAAGGCAAGGAGACAGGATGTATCTCCATCCTGGAAAGCCCACACAGGTGTGGCAGCACATGGTGGGGAGGTTTGGCCGCTGCTCCCCTCATGTGCCTCTTCTGGGGCTCTCCAGCTGGGGCAGCTCCTTGGATGAGCTGCACCTTGAAACCCTCCCCAGCACCCACCATCTCCTGCCCCGGTGAGCACCTCTGCTTGCCAGGATTGTGGGCAAGCAGGTCCCTTCTCCCTACCCCACCTTTAAACCCCCCTTTTTCTCCTCCACAGGTGCAGAAAGTGGTGCGCAGCTCTGCTGTCTACTTCTCCATCCTGAGGAACCCCGTGCAGCTCATGGAGTCCTCCTTCACGTACTACAAGGGTGCGTCAGCTTTCTCACACGTGCGCAGCCTGGAGGAGTTCCTGAGCCAGCCCCACCTCTACTACGACCCCTCCAAGGGTGACAGCAACTATGCCAAGAACCTCATGACCTTCGACTTTGGCTTCAACCCCAATGCTGAGGTGTCTGCTGAGCGGGTGCAACTCATGGTAAAGGCCATTGAGGCGTCCTTCGACTTCCTTCTCATCTCCGAGTACTTCGACGAGTCCATGGTGCTCCTGAAGGAGATGCTGTGCTGGGACCTGGACAGCGTCGTCTCCTTCCCGCTCAACACCAGGGACAGCAGCACCAAGTCCTTCCTCTCGGACAGCGTTGTGGAGAAGATAAAGGAGTGGAACAGGCTGGACTGGGAAATCTACATCCACTTCAACAGGACTTTCTGGGAAAGGATCGACCGGGACATCGGCCGGGAGCGCATGGAGCAGGAAGTGAGGGCGCTGCGGGAGCGGCAGGCAGAGCTGGCGAGGACCTGCCTGCAGGGCTCGGGCAGCGTGGTACCGAAGGACATCAAGGACTCCTCCCTGCGGCCACTGCAGCACGGCGGCGCCAGGATCTTGGGCTATAACCTCAAGCAGGGCTTGGATAAGGAGACGGAGCACATGTGCCGGCGCCTGGTGACCCCGGAGCTGCAGTACAGCAGCGCCCTCTACAAGAAGCAGTTCCCCCCCGTGCCCCCCGAGACACCCCAGCCCACTCCCTCTGGGCAGGGCAGTGCCCCGCAGCACAGGCTGGAGGACACCCAACACTGAGCCTCCCCGCCCCCTCCAGGCACCTTCTCCAGCCGCCTTGGCTGAGGACAGCGAGGCACTCGGATCCTGGGATCGGGGAGGGGGGTGGGCTGGGGGGTGCTGTCCAAGGCAGCCCACAGTCACCTCTGACTGTGCAGGACTGTGCACAAGCTCTGGGTGCTACACACTGCTGTGGAGCAGGACGGGCTGACACGGGGGGTCCCAGAGGCTTGACATGACTTTTCCAGAGGGAACCCCCCTGCCCCAGTCAGCAGCCGAAGACTCAGCAGCAAGGAGGAAATCCAGGAAGGCAGCCCCAGTCCCCATGCCAGAGACTGCAACAGTGCAGGGCCAAGCTGTAAATCAGAGCTTTGGAGTTTGATTTACAGCTTGGGAATGAGTCTGTCTGTCTGTCCAGTTGCAGCTCTCCTCCGCTCTGCCTTAACGCTACCACGCTGGAAAAGCAGCCTCTTAATTAAAAATAACAGTATCCACAGCCACTCCTTAAATTCCCCTTAATTACATCAGCCTGCCCAGTAGACAATCTCCCCAGCAGCCCAAGAAACAGAGCCCAAATATCCAAAACTGCCTTGAAAAGTAAAAAAAAAAGAAAAAAAGAAAAATCCAGTAATTTTTTTTCCCTGGCTCTGTGGTGACGTTGCCTTCGGAAGCTGCATTTATAGGATCAGCATCCTACCCTGGAGCTGATGTTCTGGCACCAGGGTGTCAGACTGCAAATTCCATACCCATGGGACTGGGGACATCTCGTGAGCATCTCTGCAGCCAGACATCCCAATTCCCTACTCGGAGTGGCCGTAGGAACATCCTACGCTCTGCCTGGTGAAAGGTACCGCAAGAATGGGGCTGTGGTGGGCGAGTCAGCCTTACTTTCCACATCCTGCACTTATCCTCAAATCAAAACCAGAGCCAGCAAATCAGCTGGGATAATTGCAGGCCCCATCTCTGGGTTTTCAGCACGATTTCCAAACCAAGAGAAGTTCAGGAAAAATTGCTTGGGGGGATCTGAGCATCCCAGGCTCTCCCTGGGGCAGCCACGTGGAGCCTCAGAGGTTTAGGTTTACACCCAAAGGTGTCCTGTTTCCTGCTCTGTTTAACCAGGATAAAAGCCAGACTGTGCTCCCAGTGCCATTCCCAGGTCAGTGCCAGGCATCAGGCAGGGCATGATGTGGGGGCACCGTTTTGGGGGTGTTTGCTCTGTGGCTTTTGGGGTGTTGTTCATTCCATAAAGTTTAATCTCTGGGGAACATCCACACATCGCTGTGTTGGTTCCTTCCCTCATTTCTCCTGTTGGGATGTGGTGTGGGCTTATGGTTTGCAGAGGTCTGGATCCTCTTAGGGTCGCTGAGGGGCCTGCAGGTCACTCCAGAGGAAAACCACAGAGATGGACAGCTCAGGGGCAGCACAACACCCTGGGATTATCCCCCCAAACCCCTCACAGGACACTGCAGGGTGCAGGAAGGAGCAGGGCTGAGTGCCGGGTACCAAACCTGCACCTGACACACTCACTCTGGATTTCAGTTGGGTGCCTCTTCCTCATTCCCTGTTTGCACCTCAGGAAATAGGAGGAGACTGTCCCTGCTCGAGCTCCTGCCAAGGTGACCCAGGGCAGGGACACTGGTACAGCTGGAGCATCGTTGTCCCCCCTGTGCTCTTCCCTGTGGAGAGAGCCCTGGGATGCAGCATCCATGGAGGGCCCTGGGCCCAGCACAGCCTGGGGAGATCCCTGTTCACCCAGCAGGTGTTTCCCATTTTCAGGGATCAGATGGGCTGATATCCCCCAGCAGAGCTCACAGGAACAACACCACTGACTCAAATGCCAACCACAACGTTTTTTACTATTATTATTGTTCCCACAAACTGTAATTTTATCTTTAGGAATATTTCACATAGACAAGGAATGGAGGCCAGGGATGCACTTGCTCAACCACACTGGCTGCCTGGGTCTCTTTTTTTGTTCCAGCCACAGTCCCTTTCTCGATGTGCACCATTTCTCGATGTTTTACAGCACCAAGCCCCTGGCCAAGCACACCCCCCGAGGAGCAGGGTCTCCTATGGCCACTGAACTCACTTGCCCTGGAGCATTTTTAACTCCTCTCCAAGACCTGCCAGGTTCAGCCTGTGCAACTCAACATGCTCAGTTCAAGTCTGACTCAAAACCCACCACTTTTTGACCAATATTCATTAATAACTGGAAAGATCAAAGCCTACTTCCTCCCCATCCTAAGTTTCCAAGGCAGTTACTGGTTTATACTTTGTTTTTATGGCTGTAAGAGAGCCAGTGAGGTTATTTCAGGTGTTGCACGATGCAATAACCCGGAGTTACTCAAGCCTGCCCATGTAATAGTCTTTCTGTGAGCTTCCTGGCAGTGCAAGACTATCAACAATTTATGCAAAAGTGTTAGTTTTTTTCTCTGTGAGATAACAATGAAGGCTTGGAACATTTCGGGCTCTCCAGGGAGTCTTTCAAAGCTATTCCCAAAGGAGCTCAGGGACCCAGACATCCTGCAAGGATTCCTTTGCGATGCTTTAAAACAAGTCTCACCCTGTGGCAGGGACTGAACGTGCAGGATGAGCAGCAAAATCTTCCATGCCTGGAAACTCTTTCCCAGGAGAGGGGCTGTGGGGACCCCCTCTGCCCACGGCTCAGGCACGAGGCTCAGGGTTGCTCTTCCCCCCCTTCCTCTTCCTCTTCGGTTCATCACCCTCCTCATGTGCTGTCACCTTCACCTTGGGTATCTTGTATTTGCTCTTCTGGCTGTAGAGGAGGTTTTTCTGGAAGAGCCGTGGGATGTTGCCTTGGTACAGCAGGAGGGCAGCGAACATCCCTGGAACGAGAGCACAGACCCTTCCGTGTCCCGCACTGAGCGTCTCCACCCTCCCCACGGCTCAGCCGTGATTTCCAGCTCCACAACCATTCCCATGACCAAAAGGCAGCTCAGCACCACTGAAGCCTTCACTGAGAGCTGACAGACCTTCGCTGTGTGGTTTTAAGGAGAATTTAACCAGCGTTTCCTTAATGTAATAAGCTTGTTTGGATCCAAAAGGGCCACAAACCACCCCTGTGGTCTTTTGCCACAGAATCGTTCAGGTTGGCAAAGCTCTCCAAGACTGTTGAATCCAACCATTCCCCTCTCACTAACCCATGTCCCCAGGTGCCACATCCATGTGGCTTTCAAATCCCTCGAGAGATGGTAACTCCATCACCACCATGGGCAGCTCTGCCAGTGCCTGACCACACTTTCAGGGAAGAAACTTTTCCCAATACTCAACTTAAACCTCCTCTGGTACAATTTGAGGCCATTTCCTCTTGTCCTGATGCTTGTTACCTGGGAGACCAACCCCCACCTGGCTCCATCCTCCTGTCAGGGAGTTGTCCCCACTCTCTGCATTCAAGGCAGCCCATATCCAGCTCCCTGTGATCATCCTGAGGCTGTGGACAACCCCAAACCACAGCTCAGCCTGTCACTGCTCTAAAACACCTTTGCTTTATTCTCCCCCAACCTCTGGCCCATGTCCTGTGCAGAAATTAGATCAAAAAACTTGGATAGCAAAAAGACTCCAGAGACAAGGAAGCTGGAGGAAAAATACCACTTGCCACTGCCAAGACCCAAGTTCAGCCCTTTGCAGGACTGCCTTGTGTTAGACCCAGCATTTCTGCTTTGCCCACTGCTCCCCATCCCAGCCCCTGGTCCCAGGAAGATCTCACCTGCGAGAGGCCCCAGCCAGTACACCTGGACATAGTCCCAGAAGCTGTTCCCCGAGCAGTGGAAGGTGGTGGCTGTGGCCAGGGCAGGGTTGAAGAAGGCCCCTGTGAACGATCCGGCTGTGTGCGAAAAGAAATATGGCCAAGGGTCTCACCTGCATCCTTTGGGACACCAACAAACAGCTGGGCCTGGAGACTGTGACCCCTCCTGCCTGCCCGGAGCATCTCTGCTGCCCAGCTCCGGCAGCTGCATCCCTTGGACAGGAAAAATTCCACCCTTGTCATCCTGAGCTTTGCAGGAAGCAGAAAAGCTCAGTTTGGAGCTGAGGGGTTGCATTAGGGGACAATGAAGAGAAGTGATTCCAGTCCTGGGCCCATGTGCCAACATTCAGCTGCTGCCCAGATATCCTAAATGGCTCTCTTCATCCCAAAGTGACTGTTCCCCAAATTAAATAGAAAACAAACATCATGGCAGTCGTTACCTCATTAATCACTACCTCTCCAATCCTGGCAGATGAAAAGGGGCTGTCCCTCCCCCACAAGTTGGGTATTTTTCAAAATAACTCAGAAGTGCTGCTCACCTGTGTAGGTCAGGAAGGTGACAGTCGCTGCCCGTGCAGGGACTCGGTAGATGGGGTGACTCTGCTGTGACTTGAGGAGGACAAGGTGGAACAGGAAAGAGCAGGTGCCTTCCACAAGGGCGGCGTGGAGCAGGGAGGTGTGGATGGAGGAGCTGCACTCCGATGAGATGAGGTTCTGGATGAAGTGGAACTGTGTCAGCTCCCAGGACCAGAAGAGCTTGGTGACAGCCCAGCCTGTCCCTGTGCCCACACCCTGGGCCAGCAGCTTGGCAGCTGTGGCTGCCAGGCTGGACTCGAGGAGCAGGAACTCCTGGACAGAGACAGTCGGGTTGGCAGATGCTCCGTCAAAAGAGGCGCCATGAACAGCAAAGAGGAGGAAGAGCAGAGTCAGGATCACGTCCAGGCCAAAGCCACCCCCCCACGGGCCGATGTCCATCAGCATCCTCAGCTCCAGGCAGCTCGTGCACAACTGTAATGAGCCAGCAACTTCTCTGGCAAGGCAGCCATATGCTCTGGGAGACAGGAGCCTCTTGGAAAGCCACCTGAGTGCCTGGCACACCCCACCAACCAAGAAAAAAAAAGCAATGGAGACATTGAGGGCGTCCATAACGAGGGCTGTGCTGGTGGGAGAGTCCGGACCAAACCCCAGGAAGGAGCAGAGGAAGCTCCCACAGCTTCTCTTTATAAAGCCCCATGAAAGCAAACGTGGCACAGCCCGACAGGCCTGGGAAATGCCACATGTGTGGCCTCCACAGGGCAATGCCAGCTGCCTCCAGGAACTGATGGAATCACAGCAGCTGGAGCAGCCAATATGATGTTTGTCCCAGCAAGGAGGCACCAGTTTTATCCCCACTGGGCCCCCAAGCCCAGCATTCACACCTGAAAGCCTCCAGCAGCTCCCCAGAGCTGCCAGGTCTCCCAAAAGGAGCAAAACAATCTTCATTTGGTTTCTGCTTGGCTCCAATCCCTGTGGCTGCCCCATCCCTCAAAGTATCCGAGGCCAGGTTTGACGGGGCTTGGAAGAACCTGGGATAGTGCAAGGTGTCCCTGTCCATGCCAGGGGGTAGAATGAGATGAGCTTTGAGGTCCTTTCCAGCCCGAACCATTCTGGGGTTCTATGATAAAACACAACCTACCACCCCGTTCCCAAAGCCTGGGACATGAGGGGACCCAGCAACCTATCCAAGATGTGCTAGTGGGTATCCCAAACTCCTCTCACCACCCTGTCACACACAAAGAGCCAACAGTTTCCATTATTGCCATTTTATTCCCAACCTCCATGTTGTTTATAAAAGACACTGCCAGGAACCACAGGTTTGAAGCACACTTGAGCCAGGGATGAGGCACCTCATACAGTTCAAAGCGGCTACGGCGACACAGACCATGCCATGAAAATCTGAAGGCATTGGAGCTACTTGGCATCTCCCCTGATAGCCCTTGGAACAGTGAAAAGAAAGCAGGACCTTCTGGGAGGGCATTTTGGGGATGTCGGTGAAAGTCTCAGCTCGGCATCTCCCCCTGCAATACTCTCCCTCTCCTCATCTTCCCTCCCCCTCATTCCTACCCCCAAGTGCCCGCCCCACAGTGGTTTAGGGAAGGTCCCCTCGGCTCATTGCTCACAGCACTCGCTTTGGAAACCATGGGAAGTCTGAGCAAGGAGAGGGATCACACTGCCAACAGCCCATCACCCAGCCCTCCCCTCCTCCCCCCCAGAACTGCCCTGCTTTTGGTCAGCCTGCCTCACAACTTACCCTGTGCGACCATTTTCAACCCCATTCTCCCTCCAGGGACAGACCAAGTGTGCATCTTTCACCTCAAATGAGCAAATGGCTTTGCTTGAACAGCAGATGATAAAACATGCTTTAAGAGTCTCAAAATAATCATGTTGTCATGAAAATTAACCTCTGACACTGTTAAAGTGCTTGCCAAAGCTGCTCATACCTGCAGAACCAACCACAAAAACTTGTAACATCACAATCCAGCTCATTTCTTTCCATCTCCCGTAATTTCTGTTTCTCAGAAGTAGAGAAATCTGTCGTTTTCTCTTTGGAAACAAAACCTTACAAGGACCCAGTGACACCAGCCCAAACCGAGACCCTAGAAGAGAACTGCCAGTCCATGAGAAACAGATTGTGATACCCATGGTAAAACTGGGAAAGAAATTCCAACGTCTTTTCCTTCCCCCAGGAGCTGATTTTTCCATTCAAGTGTTTTAAGATTTGGGCCTTAGGAAATAAATGTTTAAGAGGTGTTTAAAAACTATTTGCCATCCACCACCTGTAATTATGCCCATAGCACATCCTGCAGTTGTGTGACATTTAACCCAGGCTGGAGAGGGGAGCTGGAAGCTGCTGATTCCAAGGATAACAATGGGAATAAATAACGGCAGGGGCTTACACTTGGTTAGTACTGACAGCAGAATCCACAGAGCTTTGCAGGGCTGCTCTTCTAGAAACAAGACTGTAAAAATTCAGATAACTCCCAACAAAAAAAAAAACCTTCTCTGTGGGTGGAACATCAGTGTCTTTTATACACCCACCTTGCTTCCAAGGCTGTCAATGACAAACACAGCTTAAAATGCAGATTTTAATATAGGGGGGTTTACCCATGGGACAGGGAACCAAGTTGGCACTTCCACAATTAAGAATAAATACTCTCCAAAAACACAGGAACTGAACAGAGCCATCCTGGCTCCCCCCACCAAGAGGTAACAGCTGCAAAAAAGGACAGTTACAAGGTTATTTTAGGGGAGTTTCAGTGGGCAGGGGGTGGATAAGAGCCTTCCAAGAGCAGCCACCTGCTCTCAGCTGCTTGTGAGGAGGCAGCAGGAACCGGCAGCAGGTTCCCTCCCACAGGCAGGGAAAAGGGCTCCAGAAGAGCCAGGAGTTAATTGTGCCTCATGAAAAAGGCCAGAATCCTTAGAAGCAGCTTTTACTGGGAGGAAAAAATAACAAAAGCTGTGTCATCCCTGGCTCCAGAAACCTCGAGGAATTCCAGGGAGACATCTGTGCTGAGGAGGTCACCCCAATCCCAGTGTGGGCAGCTGTTTCCCCTCCAGACCATCCCGTGGAAATTCCCTGAGTCACATCAACATATCTGCCATTGATCCACAGTTACACCGAGCTGGATTTATTATTCACCAGCCCTTCAGGAAACACCAGAACCTGGAGTGTGTGCACTGAGACATCCATGCACAGAGACAGATCCGGGCCTTGGCACAGACTGTCTGCTCTTCCAGTCCCATCCTCCTCTCCACTGACTCAACACATCTCCAAAGCAGAAGTCTGGTGGCTTGTTATGCCCTAAAGAGAATGAGCAACCAGTAACTTCACACTGGGAAAATCCCATAAAAAATAACTATTAAAAAAAAAAAGTCATCAGTCCTTCCAGGCTGTTTCAATACTCGGGCCAATGGGTAACTGGGACTTGAATTCAAGGTTGGCTGTTGGACTTGATGATCTTAAAGGTCTTTTCCAACCTTAACAAGTCCATGATTCTAAGTTATGATGTGCTGGAAGATATTCCTCCAGCAGACACCAGCAGGAAAAAGCAGCATCACCACTGGGATATGGGAACAACAGCATGAGGAGCTGTATTGCCCTGCCCTGCTCCCTTGTAGGTAGAGAAGTTACAACCAGAAATTCATTGTTCTCAGTTGTTGGTATTTTCCCCTTCCTCCCCTTTTTCCTTTGAGGAAAAAAAAAAAAATCTTTCCTTAGGCTGAATTCCAAGTAGGGAAAGAAGTTCTTGGTAAAACCTCCTTCCTCCACACATCTGAGAAGGAACACCAAGAGTTCAGCTGAGCTCAGCACACTTTCACTTCACTTTCTCACATGACTGAGGATGGCTACTTTTATTAAAAACAATCTTGAGAGCAAAATGCAAGTTATAGGAAAAGGAAAAAAATGCAGCTGTACAAACCCCTGGAAGCAGCAACTGCAGACACCGCTGTGCTCCAGCACAGGAGCCACAGGAACTGCACTGACACCCGACAATGTTCTTCAGGCACCACTGGGAAAAAGCCACTGAAATGAAGATCTGCTGTTTTCAGCCATCCTGTTTTCAACCAGTGCGTGGCTCAGCTTTGCAGTTTGCAATCAATGCAACCAAAAGCAGCCCCGAAAGGGAGAAACTGCTGACCCCAAACTTACTCTCTTCAAGAACACTGTTTAAATACACAACTTTGAACAAACTGATCCCCAAACATGGAGCTGCTCCTGAGTTTAGTCTCAGGCAGGTACTTGTAAGGGATGACCAAGTTCACGAGACTGATGAGGATTTATCAGGGACGTGCGACTCTCAGCTGTGCAAACCACAATCAGCCCAAGCCCATCTCTTCAAGCAGCTCAAACACCAAAACACAGATAATACCAAGTTCCACCAAGCACTTTCTCCTTCCTCCTGTTCACTTTTCCCCCCATAAATTAAATGCCAAATCACTTTAGTGCAGTTTAAATGCATAAAGGGTCAATTATATATAAAGACAAAGAAGCTACAAAAATTGCTGACCCTCAGGAGACAGTGCTCTGTGCAGAGCAACATTCTTGTGTCCAGGTGAAAAGGCTGCTGCAGACAAGCGGTTTCATTTCCCTTTGTGAGTAGGATGAGCAAAGCTTGTACAACATGGAAGAAAGGGGAAGAGCCCATTTCCCAGTAACACACGGGAAACACAGGACACGATGAGTCCCTGACATTCACAACCGAGACAGGAACCTTCATCCAGAATCAACTAAACCAGACTCAACCCCAAAGGAAACCATTAGATGTCCTTGGCTTTAGCTGGACTGACAGGCTTAGACCCCACAGCATTTTTGTAGGTTCACTGGAAAGCAAAAGTGACTCCCTGCAGCCACCGAGGCCGAGAGGCACCATGGATCTCATCCCAAGTCCTCAGAGAGCTGTGGACACTCCGCATCCTCCTTCTGATGGTCAAACACTGATCAGCGGAGACAGCGCAAACCCAGCAGTCACATCTTCCCTGCGGGCACCAGGACAGCTCAATGCCCGTGTTTCCCATGCCATAATGTTTATATGCATGATATGGATGATCTCCCATAAAGCATCGTATTCGGAACAGCTACGGAATTGCCACGACCGCAGTTCACTGGCCCCTCGATCCCACCCTGGACACGGCAAACGGACGGTGGAAAACGTGGCTCTGACGAACCAGGCTGGCCTCTGCCTTGCTCCCTTCACGAGGAAATGAGGGATCTCTCTTCCACGATGGGTGTAAAGCGTGTTCCAGAGCTGCTCTCCTCCCATAAGTGATCCGGAGTTTTTTTGTGGGAGGCACAACCATTCCCTAGCACTGCATGGCAGGCAGGAAAGCTCCTGGTGACCCCAAGGCAGGTACAGACACTGATGAGAAACATTTTAAAAGAAGCAGGCTGGTATAGCATGAAATTATATCCACCACCATTAAAGCCTAATTACAAATACATTCTGTTAATCTCAGTAAGACACCGACACATGAACTCTTTCAGCTACTCTTGTCTTTGAAGGTATTAAATTCATTACAGGGAAAGGGGGGAAGCCCCAAATGTTTTTTAAAAGTTTATTTCTAGCCCTGAAAGAACAGTTATTAAACAAAGTCAACAAATACAGTAGTTAATATTGCAGTAACAATTAAATAACATAATGGGATTAAATTACACAAAAGGCAACATTAACATCTGAAGACAGTTAAAAAAATAAAAAGAAAGCTTGCACCTACTTCCATTTCCATCGACAGCATAAGGAACAGAGGGAAAAACAGACCAGAGAGATAATTATTGACTCAATGCCAGCTGGAGAGACCCTTAATCACTTCCTTGTCCCTCCCCAGCCCCTCTGACAACAGAACCCATCTGCTTTAGCAAAACCTTCACACCTCCCTGCATGGAGAGCCAGGGCGAGGGGGAAGCTCCAATTAGTCTCACTGGGGCAAAGTGCACATTCCCATGGTTGTTTTTAAAGAGAAATCTGGTTTATTCTACAATCACAACAAAGTCCCAGGAGTCTCACATTCCCTGCACACTGCATCTCAGCCACAAGCTGCCCCACCAACCACACGTGACACTTGGGACAGATCACGTGCACGTTTGATCCTGATTCAGGATCTTATGCGGGCACCCAGGAGAGAGGCATGGCCCACACTGGGATGCAGTCTGTCCCTTCCCATCATCTCAAGTTCTGGCTGGTATCCACCTGCCCCAGTGACACAGAAGAGCTGCCCAGCCCTGCACCAAGTCTAAAGAACTCCGACCTGCTCCCACCAGGGGAATAACCAGGACCTGCAGTTTTAACCTGGCACACACATCCAGGCGACACTGTTGGAAAAGCGATGCCCGACCCAGCAAAGACACTAAAGCACAGCATAAAAACCTTCTCCTGGCTCTCCTCTCCTGCCAGTTCCTCCTCTGGTCCCCAAGAGAAACCTCACCACATACCGGCCGCTGCGTGGGAGATGCTGACACTTCTCAGCCTCAGAGCTAAACACCTTCCCAGGTCACACACATGATTTGGGAATTTCGGGATTGGGCCAAGTTTTGTGTGCTAAAGTGGCTGAAACTTCAGAAATCATCTCCAAAATGCACTAAATTGAACAAATTTTGTAACATGTTTCAAACCATTCTCATTCATCAATAAAAGTGAACTAATAAGTTAAAATTACTTATGATTTCTTGTTCTCTATTAAAAAAGAAAAAGCTAAATTTATCTAGATTGTGTCATTAAAAAAAAAAAAAAAAAAAGAGAGAAAGAGGAAAGAAAGAAAAGCTCCCAGTTTAACTCTGGCACAAGGAGTTTCACCCAGTCCATTGCCAGCAACGGACAAAGAGGGAACCATTGGTACAACATGTTTTTTCCTCAGCCAAGCCTCCTCGCTGCTCCATTTGACCAGGGAGCCAGACACACTCAGCCCAAGGGGATTACAGTGTCCCTGGCTCCTGACTATTTTTTTTTCCCTGGGAAATGCATCTGGATTTCCTTGGCTGGAATGAGACACTTCCTTGAATTTAAAGCCGTATTCTTACACTTACAGCTCGAGGGATTTATCCCTGTGACGGAACAGTTAAGATAATTCACCCAACACAGATTTTTAACTACCACACAGGAGCAGAACACAAGCTGAACCTGCCCAGCAAAGCACTCTGCTGGCACCACACAATGCCCAGGAACTCCTGAGTCCCAGCAGACGCTGTGAGACCCCAGCCCTGTTCCCCTCCATCATCACCCAAACGGCCTCCGCTGTCCTGGCTGGCTGCTCTCAGCTGGAAGTTGGTTTTGTCATACATTGGCTACCAGTCCTCAAAATGTCATTATCTCTAGACAGATACTGATATCCTCCGAATATGACTTCTATCCCTTGCCAGCAATGTTTGGAAAAGTGTGCAAAAAGTTTTTATTCGGGGTCCTCTGTCCATACCCAACCATAACTCTGTCTGCCCCAGGCCCCACCCCACCAGGAATGCAATAAAATCCTACTAAAGGCATGGTTGTTCTTTCACAGACTCATTTGGCACATCGTTACTACCGTTGGCTCTTCCTCAAACACTTGGGGAGGTTGAAATGCATAGACTGCAGCACTAGAAGGAGCCAGGGGCACAGGCTCTGCTACACTCGCCCCTGGCAGCACCCCAAGAACTCAACTGCTCTGGTTCTCACTGTCCTTCAAAAGGAGGCACTTTTTCTTGCATTGAAGGGTTCACTGCAGCCATCCTGGCTGGCACAACGTCTCTAGTGAGAAGGATCAATGTGACACTCAGTCCCCTCAGCCTCGAACCTGCCAGTCAAACATGAACATCTGACAGCACTGTCCTCCCCTCAGAACAGCGCTTTGGCATCTCCAGGTGTTCATCATCTTCTGTTTGGATCATCTTTTGAAAATTCCGCATCTTCAGTGTCCTCAGATCTGGTTATTTGTTCTTCTGGTTTCATTAGTACAAATGGAGCACATACAAAACTGGAAAAAATAGCTCTAATACTTAAACTCCAACAACTCCATAGGTCGATGCATTATTTGCTTGGGGGGAGAAAAATTACAACATATACAAAAATGTATTTGATACAAAGAAGGGAAATGTAAAATAAAAAAGTCAAAGGCACCAGCATAACTTCCAAAGCCCAAGTCAGAGCACAGATACATGTTTTTGAACCACCCACCGCACCAAGCACGTTAACCCTTAAGCTTCTGGCCAGCAAGTCTAACAGGGGGAAAAAAAGAGCACACAAGGAAGACAGCTGGAATTTTTTCTTGCCCTGACTAGAACTGATCATTTGATCATAAATAAAGTATCTGACCCCAACCTACATATCCATAACCCACATCAAAAGACTCGACCAATCGTTACGGTTCTACAAAGAGCCCACGTTTTTGATTAAAAAAAAGTCCACAGAGCACAAGCATAAGAAACAGCTGAATACTTCTCTTCCCCCCCTCTCCTTATTCATCTTAGAAAGTGAAAAACATCTCCATGCACTACGACTCCCTAAGTAGCACGTTGTCAATTCTACAGTGCAGCAACAGCTCTTCTGTAAATGAGGGGCAAGATGTACCTTCACATTCGCCACACCTGCCGTGAATCTCGTCATGGGGGAGCTTTACCAGAGGGATTTAAAAGCCAACAGGTAGAGGGGAGGAAGAGGAGAGTCAAAGAGATCAGCAGGTAAAATTAGTACTGCTCTCTGAAAGCTTGAACCTGTCATTCAAGTATTGAAAGTACCCAGAGGGTACAACGAACAGGAGCTGTTACAGCGAAGTCGTTAAAAACCCTTAAAGCCCCGGGCACAGTAAGTGGCATTTCCGGGCTGTCTGGGGGGGAAAAAAAAAAAAAAATCAGAATAAAACACAACTAAAGGCCAGTAATTCAGTCCTCAATTCCTTCTGGACCCCAGACAGGGATCGGTAGAGTCACCACAATGTATTTTTTGGGTGTCTTCTGGATGAGAGTTTCTTCCCTTTTGCAGATGTTTCCCACCCGCCCCCGCCCGCCCACCAAAATCCCTTCCCTCCCCACCGAAGTGTAACAATTTCATATATTATAAAGATTTGTAAAATACAAACAAACAAAAAAGGAGGAAGGCTGTGGCAGGGTGTTAGCGGTTACTCTTCATTGCTTCTTTGGCTGCCAGGATCAGTGGCGTCAAGCTGGACAGAGGTTTGGCCAGTTTCAAGAAGGGATGCTGCCAGGAAGAGAGAAACACTGGAAATCAGGGAAAGACACGGTTTAAAAGGCCAGCCAAGGGTTACTTTTTATCGGGATTCACGTTTGTGTGAAGCTGGGCAGGAATGATATTTCATTTTAACGGCCGACTTTTCCATGCATTTCTCCTGATGTTTATAGGGAACAGGGTTTCTCCCGGAATAGCTCACCGCTTTTGGAAATGGTGAGTATTGAAACTGCACTCACAATGAGCAAAACAGCAAAGATCTGAGCAAGGAATAACCAGAGAAAGATAAGGAGCAGCAGCTGGCTTTACTGGGAAAGCCTCCAAATCATCTGGCTTCCAGGCTCAGAGCTACTCCTTGCTCTCTCCAGGAATGGCCATCAGTGATTCCATCACTCCTTCACACAGTGCTGCCTGCAAGAAGATTTCATTTTACAAGCCAGTTTTTCTCCAGGAGGTATTTAAAATCAGGTGTTTAAAATCCAAACTAAAAGGAGAAATGGTGGCACAATGGCAGGTACACTGAGCTCCAGCTGCTCAGCTGGTAGGGCAGAACCCTGGGGAAAACAGCAGCTTTTCTTTTCAGGGCTTGAACACCGACTTCAGACTAGCAGATAAATAGTTCTTTTTAATAGCTCTGAGGAGGACATTTGCAAGTGAAGACACGAAAAGCAATGCAAATGCTATCAGTGGCCAACTCCTGAAGGGAGCTCATAAATTGCTGGATGCTTTGGCAGTGGCAGTGAAGGCAGAGACTGTGATGGAACGACTTCAGAGTGCACTACAAATCTTTGATGACTGTTGTTCCTACCATCTGCTCCCACTACAGTTCTCAGAGGAAAACACACACACAAAAAGGGTGCCATCTGCCACCTGGTTTGTCACAGGCTGACATTACTTGCAGCTTCTGCACTTCACACTGTGAGGAGAAGCTGAGTCTCACCTGTAGCAATTCTTTGGCTGATCCTCTTTTCTCTACATCCATCTCCAAACATCGGTTCAAGAAATCCCGGAATATTGGGGACAGTTTCTCAGGGTTCTGAAGTTCTGGTGTGCCATTAGTTGCTATCAAATATAAAGCCTGTAAAATTAAGAATAATGTATAACCAAAACAAATCCTCAAAAGATGGCAAAATGTCCTGTCTAGTGGCAAGCCCTTAGTTCAGAAAGGGCTCTGCTGTCTACTTCTCAAACTTATGAGATTTAACCTGTAAAAATACCACAATTATAGGCAGTCACGATTTATTCTTGCTAGTAGCAAAATAACATTCAAAATCTTTTGGCAACAGATACTTATTTTAGCAAAGAAAATATCAGATTGTGACAGAGCAACATTTTTCAGAACCTGATGGATTTAATTTCCCTAAACTATCACAGAATCTTGAGGTCAAAATCTAGTGTTTAGAGGATTTACCTGCGTGTAACTGAAACACTGTATTTTGACCTCAAGATACTGTGATAGTTTAGGAAACTGGTTTGGGCTGGAAGGACCTTAAAGACCATCTGGTTCCACTCTCGTGCCATGGGCAGGGACACCTTCCACTAGACCAGGTTGGTCTAAGCACCGTCCAACCTGGCCTTGGACTCTTCCAGGGATGGGGAGTCAGGGTAGGGATGATTGCACATTTAAGACAAGTGTCTTCCCTTGGAGAACTTCACTTGTACTGCTGAATCTTCTTGGCTTTTTCAATTCCTTTACTGTAGACATAATTAATGACCAATCACTGAAAATGTTTGATACGATGAACACCCACAAGCAGTTCCAACCCCGGCACTTCTTACCCTCAGGGGGTTTTCATTGAGGTACGGGGGTTCTCCTTCCACCATCTCAATAGCCATGATGCCCAGAGACCAGATATCCACTTTGGGGCCGTATGCTTTCCGTGTGACCACCTCTGGAGCCATCCAGTACGGGGTGCCCACCATGGTGCTGCGCTTGCTCTGCTCAGGGGTGATCTGAGCACAGAAACCAAAGTCGGCTGCAGGACAACAGGAGGATGAAGAGATTAAACTGGTGCACGCCCAAAAGTGGGTTTCCTAGAAGACTTCTCTATTGCTACACAAATATTTCACTGAGAGGGGTTTCAGGGGGTTCCTTCCCCCCCCCCCCCCACTACATTCTCCATATTAAATAAGCCAACGTGCAAGATGAGATACAAAACCTGAAGGTGTTTAAGCAGGGCAGAATTCCGTGGACTGAAGACAAGCATTTTTGTCCTCTGGAAAGAAGAATTACCCTGCGGAAGAATTGTATTTTGCCCAGTCCTTCCTTCAATAATTGTAGACTGGTAGCAGCCAAAATAAGCAATCAAGCAGAACGCAGGAGGCGAGTGTTCTGCACTTGGTGTGTTACACAGCCTGAACCAGAAGAAATGAATCCACAATCCATGGCTTCTGCCCTCCTAAACAGATTGTACTTGTGCAGCTACTGAGTTGAACATTTCACAGCGATTTGGCCATCTAGACAGGTACTACAGCTGACAGGGACACGGAAACAAGGCTTCAGGTAAGTGCAGTGCTACCCCACTCAGCAGGAGGAACCTGGACAAACAAACCTTTCCACAAGGTAACTACCAAAGAGAACAACCACACTCAAGAAAACGAGAAAAGTCACCTATTCCTACAGCCTTCAGGTGCAGCAGCAATGCATGTTCCATCATGTTACTCTATCCAGCTGCAGCACTCCCACTTCCCAGGCATGTAAAGCACCAATAAGAACACAGTTAAGGCAGGAGACAGATATTACCTTAGCATTGACACTAAGTTAGAGAAAGAGAGAGAGAGAGAAGGAGAGGGAGGGAGAGAAAGAGAGAAATTTAAATTTTGAAAGTGTTATGCCAAGCAGTGCTAACAAAAGAGCCACAGTCATGGAAGTGCCAGGTTGTACCAAGAAGACAATTTAACAAAGAACTATCCCCACTGTGATAGCCAAAATGCTGCCTTAAAAAAAAAAAAACAACAAACCAAAACCAACCAACCAAAAAAAACCAAAAACCCAAACCAAAAACCAACAAACCCACAAAAAAACCCACCCCCTCAAACCTACAGGAGTCACCAAGTTTCTCCTGCAGTTTTTGGCCTTATCAAGGTGTCACACTCGACTCACAGCATGGCCCATTTCAGTGGCCACCCCAGAGAAGCAGCAGCAGTAGCCTGTGTCTCCTGACCTCCCAGCAAGGCCTTCAGCACCACACCACCAGCTCAGAGACAAAAGACAGGCAGGAACCCAGTTTCCCCAGGCAGCTGTGTGTGTAGCTGTGTGCAGCTGTGCAGTGGTGACACTTGTCCTGCCACCAGAATCCTCCAGAGAAGGGGAAGAGCTCAAAAAGAAGGTGCAACTTCTTCCACCCTCCAACCCTTAACAACTGCTCGAAGCTCTACAGTCACACAGCCTCAGGAGAGCTTGTCTCAGCACTGCCTACACCACCTCCCCTTCACACAAGGCATTTTTACAGCTGACTCCTGTGTCTCCCTCCTCATCCTCCCCCAGTCTCCTGGGGTGATGCTTCTTGATTCAGACTGCCAACCCTGCCCTTTGGCCACTCTGCTTTGCTTTGGCATCTCTTTTTTGCAATTTTGATCCTTCTCAGGCTACCTCTTCTCAGCCACATCCTCTGCTGTAACTGTTCATTCTCTTCAGCCTCTTAAATCCACAGTTTGTGCACAAACACATCACACCCTTAAAACAAATAACCCCCTCTGCGCAAGCGAGCAGTGCATCCAAAGACGCTGGTAAGCAAATCAGGCTGCTCATAATCTTTTCTTCACACTCCCCCTCATAAATGAAATGAGATTGAAAACCATCTAGAATAAGGAATATTAAGACATTTTCATGGCACTTCAAATTCCTACCCAACTGCAAAAACACTTTTTACTTTACACCATTTTTTAGCCTAATTCTTTGGTTGCTTATGTTTTATACATTCCCACATACCAAAAATTCAAACAGTGCACCTCTTTCTCAACAGTCCTGACAGCTACAAGTGGTTTCACGTCATTTTTATTTACACACACCATGTACACACAAGTCCATGCATGCACAACAATTACCTGAAAAGCAAGTAGTTTCTTTTGTCGTGATTATATTAATGAAAGTGTGTTACACTTCCAGCCCAAGAAAAGGCACAGGGTAAGACTAGACTGCGATATAAATGGTCAATAAAGTACAATTTTCTTGTTGGTGGCCCTCTAATGAATGGGGCAAAGCATTAAAATCAATTCATAACATCCTAACAAAGCTACTGCAGTTTGCTGCAACTTTTCTCTTGCAATCATTCCCGTTTTGCTTCACTCCAACGTATTCATGTGGCCACAAGTTTGCTTCAACATCCTTCCGGGCTCTCACGTTCACAGCCCGAGTCTGAGGGCACTCAGAATTTCAGCACCTGCTGCCTGTTACACATTTTGCAGCACAGAATGAATTTCTACTCCTCACAGTCAATAAAAATCCACCTCAAATTTCCCTGCTAACTCTCCTTCTACCGATTCACACACTGAGTCAGAGATCACTGGAAAAGAAGAACCAGAGCATTAAAACAGTTGTCAGTTACTCACTTAGTTTAACTGATCCATCCATTCCCAAGAGCACATTGTCACTCTTAATGTCTCTGTGGATGACCTGGTTGGCATGGAGGAACTCAAGTGCTTGCAAGCACTGGACAGGAGAGAAAAAAAACCAACATTCAGCATGGAAACACGCCCGGTGTACATGAATGCAAATTCAAGGCAATGTTTACACCCTCAGCCAGCTTTGAGTGCAAAAATGGAACAGGTATTATTGAAAATAACCAGCAGAGGAAGCTCTTGGGCTAAAAAATATTCTCCAGATTTCAGGAGGACAAAGATCATTTATAACCATGGAGTTTCTCTATCTTAACAAATCCATATATGAAACTCCTCACCACCCAAGATGCTCTCAGAAATCCCAGATGGTAATTCTGGTACATCCCACAGATTCTACAGAGGAACCACAGAGTATTAAGTGAGAGCTTTTTAAGGCTGAGGTCTCACCAAGAGGGACTGGTGAGGATTCATTCCCAACATCCACACAACTTCTACAGTGAAATCTGTAAAACATCTTCATTCTGAAAGTCACTAATACTGCTTTTGCATTGTTTTCAGATTAAAACCTTTCCCACTAAGTTTCTGCCCAAAACCATAATGAAATTTACTTTTGTTATTTGAGAATAAAAGGCAAAAGTCAGATTTTTCTCTTTCAATACAAGCAGAACATTTGCCATTTGCTGCTTGGCACGGATGTCCCCAGTGAGTTTTGGGTATCTTTGTTTGCTTTAGCAAAGTGACACTGATTTGCAAAATTAAACATATCTAACATAGCGGGCAGCAGGTTTTGATGAAGTACAATAGTTCAACATTTGACTTCTTCCTCAAAAAAGCTCATTCCTGTTACAAGAAAGAGTTACTTTGGGTTCTCTGCTTCCAGCTCCAGTTCCTCAGGAAACCATTACCTGCCCATGCACGTTCCTGCACAGGTTTGCTCTCCTTCCCCTCCCTTTGGGTGAGGCACAGAAGCAGACGTCATGCTGATGGAGTAAGATGGGCTTTTTAAAAGCCTCAGTCTCTCCTGCACAGCAGATAACACAATTCTCCTTCTGCTGTAATAAATCAGGATGCTGGCACTGACTCAGGGCAGCAACCACTGATAAGCTGTGATATCAGCTGCTTTTAACTCTTTCATTTGAAATCTTATAGCCACCTTAAAATTATTCCAGCTACAATCTTCTGGAGAATTATTTTCCCGAGAAATCCCTCAAGAAAGCTTAACTGGCACAGAACTACAGATTTCACACTCTATGAGAATGACTAAGAGGGAAAATAGATGGTCTGCATCCAGTTCATCTTTGTTTTAGTACATGTTTCTTAAAGTACTCCTGTTTCAGCAGATCCACTTTCACACTGTGAGCAAACACAGTTCCCATTCTTCCTTCTGGAAAACACTTGGATGATTTTAGGCTTTTTCCTTCTCCTTTCTATATTACCCATATATGAATACTCAGATTTTTTTTTTTAATGCCTTTGAATGTCCTTTGTTAGTCAAAGTTTAAAAAGCCATTCCTTGCAGCTGCTAAACTTCTCCACTGTTCCTCCCTGAACTTCAGTCCACATTATTCACATCTTTCTGTTAACACTGTCAGCAGGATGAGGCAACCCAAGTACCAAACCCAAAGACTTTCTTTGCTCCATTCCCTAAGTTTCCCAAACACCCAGATCAAAAAAACTGCCGCAGCTCTTTTGTGTTATAACTTGCAACCCCCTCAATTTTCTCAGTTAAACTAATTTGTTATTTTCCTGTAACTTTATACTGATTTCTGCTCACAGTATCATTCATTCTTAACTCAATGGTTCCAATAGCATTTGTTGCAGTTAGTCCTAACCTAAGCATTCCATAAAAGTACCTGCATTCCTCCACCCAGCAAGTCTAACGCTCACCTCTCTGCAGACAGCAGCGATCTGTGCCTCATCCATACACGTCTCTGTGACCACATCTGTTAGGGAGCCCCCAGCCAGATACTCCATCACGACAAACAACTCATCTCCTACGAGGTAACTACAAAGAGAAAACCAAAAGCAAAAGTCCGCGTGCCATCAAGGTGACCAAGCCTAAACACAGACTCATTTGCTTCCAAGACCCTCAGGTACAGGAAGTCCAAGTCTGTATAGGCTCTTGAAACCCTCAGGGGTGAAGGAATCACTGCTTGGGTGCATTTACCTGTCCAGGAAGTTGACTATGTTGGGGTTCTTTAGCTCCTTCATTACCAAGATTTCGTTAATAATCAGCTCCTTCTTGGGCTGTTTCTGCAGGTTGATCTGTTTAATAGCCACCTGAACAGGGCAAAATAAAACAGCAATCACTGAAACCATCAGAAGCTTTCACTCATTCTTAATACAATGAAAAGTCAGAAGAAATTCTGTAACAGGATTAAAGTTGTTCAGCTCAGCTTGCAGCTGGCAAGCTATTTATTTATTAGCACACAACTTAAAAGAATGCAGCCTGATGAGCACACAACTCGCAACCAGGGCCAACATCATCCTCTTGCAGCTGAAAGGATCCACAAACAGTAACTGAGGCCAGAACAGACAGACAAGGGAGCATGCAGGAGATAAAAAGACTTGCCCAATTTCATATCAACAGGCCTGAAGCCGCAGAGAATCCTGGAGGGACTCAAAGAGAAGGTATGAGCCTTCAAATGCAAGGTGAGGCAATTAGTTGTTCTATATTCTCTCCACATTGGTGTTTGGGTATAAGGAATGCTGGGAGGCAGAAGGAATTCCTCTCAAAGCAATGAAATCAATGAACTATCCCAGAGAGAAAAGGGGAGATAAAGGCCTATCTTGCCCAGGAAATAAACTAACCAGGACAAGTATTCCAGAGGTTAAAATGCAGAAGAACTGTCCCAGCTCCGTCAGCTGCACTTTGGGGAGGCAGTTTGGAGCTCTACAAGACAACCTACCCACGAGACCGAAACCAAACACAAGAACCAATATAATCTTGTAGAAGTTAGCATTATTATATTTAAAGAAAGAGATTCTTGCCATTCTGTGACACAGAATGACAAAATAAGTAAGAGTGGAGGTGGAGCAGGTTGCTGAGGGTCTTGTGTGAGTCTGGAATAGAGACCTGAAGGAGCAGATATTCCAGAACCCCTCTGGGCTTAAAACTCACTCTGCAGTCAGTAAGAGGACATGAAGTAGTAGAGAGCAAATTAAGAGATGATAGAAAGGCTCATGTTTTATCAAGATGTGGTACTCCACTGCAAGACTGGAAAATGTGATTACTGCTCAAAGGGCAATTACTTACCAGTGACCTAAGGCATGGTATTTAAATACTTATTTAAAGGAAATTAAGGAGAGAATTTAAATAGAAACATTGAAAGAAAACTAAGGAAATCTAAAGTTAAATAGAAGCAACTAATTCCTAAAATTCAAGTCACAGAAACGAGAGATGGCCACTTGATGACAAACATGCAGAGTATTGCTGATGTCACCAATTGCACCAACTGGGTTTGGAGAAACCAGAGGGTAAAAGCAAAGAGTAAGATGTGGAGAAGACATTCTAACTACAGCAGGGAATCACAGGGGACAAGCTGATTCCACAGAGATAAACACAACCATCACCTTTACTGAGTCAGGACTAGAGAACAAGTGTGCAAAGACTAAACAAAGTTTTATTTCTGAAAACACAAGACACCAAGGCCTGCAGTTCCTGAAGGATAAACCGCTTTCCAAACTCATTTCTGGAACACCTCACACCCTCTGCTTTTCACTGGAAAGACAAAACTCTATTTTTAAGCTTTCACCATCTGATTACTATAGAACAAGGCACACACTGTTACAACTGACTATGACAAACATTCTTCTGAGAGCTGATAGCAGAGATGGGAGACACTGACAGAAATTAGTCATGGCCACCTAGAGAAGATTATTTCTAGAGTAGAAATGAACACAGGAATCTTACCTCCTGCCCTGTTGCCACATCAATAGCTGTGAAAACTGTACCTGAAGCCCTGTGAAGAGAAAGAAAAACGCTACAGCAAATTGCATCTCTTTGTAACAAACACACAAGTGAACAGCCAAATCACAAACACTAAATTGTTTCAGCTTTCAATTCAAAATTTCCACCACTGTGCAAAACCTTCACTGTTCATTTACTTTACACTTTGTTGCCCATAGAAGCTGTGGCTGCCCCATCCCTGGAACTGTCCAAGGCCAGGCTTGGAGCAACTTGGGATAGTGGAAGGTGTTCCTGCCCATGGCAGGAAGGTGGAACGAGGGGAGGTTTAAGCTCCTTTTCAACCCAAACTATTCTGGGATTCTGTGATTCACCACTGCTGAATGCAGCCAACATTTCTGCCTGCACAGAAGGAGGTGAGTACAGAACAGCATGAGACAGAGAACAGCACAGTGCTGCCAACACTGGCCCACTGGGAATAAAAGGTGTGGGGAACACTTACCCCTGCCCGATTTTTTCATATCTGGTATATTTTTTCTTGGGGTCTCCTATGCTTACAATAGTGCCTAAAAGAAAAAAAAAAACAACCAAAACAGAAGAGTCAATCCAATCCCATCGTCCCCCTTCAGCAGGGCTGGCCTGGCCAAGATACGTCCAAGTTCAAGGAGCAAAGCTGATGCACAAACAGCCAAAGCTGCACAGGGACATTAATACGGTGAAAAATTATCTTCAAGGTGGTCATGGAACAAGCCACAGCAGAAACTACTTTGTGCTATTATGGCTGTAACCTACATGCAGATCACGCTATCACAACTGAACTTTGATCAAAAAACAAAAGTCACTATTTTTCTGCCCAACAGGGCTCTGAAGATTATAAATCAGCATAACCTCTGAATACATTTTTCTCAGCTACAGACACAAAATTAGCTGAGCACAGGATCCACACAACTCTTACACGAAAATAAGGACGAGGGCAAAAATTTAATATTCCTCTCCCAGTCCCGAAGCCTTTGCTTATCTGAAATAAAACCACCTACGTAGTTTTTCCATGATGTCTTCATCTGACATTTTGGTCTTCTTTTTCTGCTTATCCCCCGATTTCGTGGCGCTGTCAGCACAAGAGTCACCGGCTGGGGCAGGGATGGGGTCGATTACAGAGCGGGTATAAATCTGTGGAGGAGACCACCAAGGACCTGAGCATCGGCTTTGCAATCACTGACCTTCAGCTGAAAACAATCACAGCCCTGAAAAGATCCCTAGGCACCATTTCATAACAGGTAGGAGGCAGAAATTAGACCAGAGAAACACTGAAGTCCCCTGGCAACAGCACTGACCTCTGAAAGGCACCTCCTGAACAGAGGGGACTACACTTGTGCCACTGTGCTGGGCCAAGTTACAGAAACCACCTACAGATTTTTAGGACTAAAAAAGCCTCCTCCTCACATGTTGGTGTTGAAGGATAAGCTTAATTGGATACCTTCAACACAAGCCAACCAAGAGAATCACCAAATATCAATGATCTCAGAGGTCTTTTTCAACCTAAATGATTCTATGATTCCACTTCAAGATTTCTGATCCAACTGACATCCAGAAATTAGGTATTCTCTTGGCAAATTCAAAAAACAGAACTCTTCCCTAATATCTTACAACAGCTCATTCCACAAACAAAACCCTTTTCTAGAGAACAGATGCAGAAGTTCTGCAATACAAAGAATTCCAGAATTCTGCACTGTCAAGTTTTGCAGCTGCTCACCGATTTTGTGTGATCTGGCCGTGGAGCAATAACAGGAGGAGGAGCTTCTTCATCATCCTCCTCATCATCTGCCACAGCTGTTGATGGTTCTGAACCTTTGGCATTGGTCTACATTTTCACCAAAATAAAAAAAAAACCAAACATAAATAAACAAATGTGTCTACCCCACAGTATTAAAGATTTGATTTTTTTTTCACACTAAGATAAACGAATTCTTACTGATGTCAAAAGAAAATAACAAACCACTTAACCCATCCCTGAGTTATTACATTTTATAATGAGACTCAAATACTGTTGCTCCTGTGAAATATGCCCTTCGTGTTTTTATTCCACAGAAAAGATCCTAATTTTTACACTTTTAAACTTGATACAGTTTAAAACTTCAAAATTCAGGATATAACAAATACAGAAGACCTGAATTTGTATGCACCTAAGGATATCCAATTAATAATAAACACACTCACCGTTGGTGTTCCTGAAGGGAAACCATCTTTTTCTAAATAGGACAAATAGCAGAATACATAAAATCATCAGAAAAAAATAATAAAAAGTGAACGCTATAGAGTAAAGGATGAAAATATCACACAGCCTTATTACTAAGCTACAAATAATTTGGAAGAAAAGTAGGCAAAACTGCACTTGTTTGTAGGACAATCCTTCTCTCAGCCCTCCCAACTGGCTCCGAATATGTGAGTCACAAATTATTCTGCACCTTTGATGTCACCAGCTGGTGACATCAAGCTCACAAACAGCTGTGAGGAGAAAGGGCTCTAGCATGAAACCAGTTCATCCCAGTGTCAGAGCTCCAGCTTCATATACAGAGCCCCTTCAAGTTCATTTTGGCTGCTATTGTGAATTATCCAGCTCTTTCTTCCACTCTCCACTTAAAACAGGAAATTAACTGGACAACACCAGCTTCCAGTAAGTCTTAAATCCACCTTCAAGTATTTGTTCCTCACTGAATCAGCATTTGAACTTAATTTATTATTCTGAGAGGAAGACTGTGCTCCAAACACCCAACTCCAGTATGTCTTGCACACACTTGGCTCTCACCTGGAGCAGAAAAACTCAGGTATTTCTGTTTTGCTGTGTCTTTGGAGTCATAGAATTTCAGCACATCTAGTACCGCCTGGGGGTTTTTCTTCTGTTCTAGCTTGGTGATATTTGAGGTTTGAAGCAACCGAGCCCATTGTTCTGGCATTCCCTGAAAAAAAAAAAAAAAAAAGGGGGATTTTAAGTATTCTAGTGCTTTAAAGATTTTTAAAGAGCAAAACAAACTTCTTCCCTCTATAAAAACCATAACATGAACAGCCTTAAGCACATGAGCAACAGTGGTTTAATGGGGAGCCACAGGTGACAGCACAGTAGCACCTGTTTCAGGAACATTGAGCCAGACGTGAGGAACAGGGGCACAACAACACCCAGCAGAACCACTGTTACCCACTAACACAAGTAAAGTGAAGGAGGTTTGTCAGGGAGGGCTCTCCCACCTGGCACAAAGCGCCAGATGTGACACTGATGACACTGGAGAAGCACTAACAGGTCATGGCATGGTAGCTCCGTGTGCTGTACAAACACGCAGGAAAATTAGTTCTTTGATACAAACAGAGACTAACTTGCACTTTACCCTAAAGCACTGCCTTGGCTTCACTACAGCACTGACCCCAAGTGCCTTCCCAGCCACCCCAGGGCAGGAATACTCACCGTGAACTCTCCAGTAACAGCATCAAAGCCAACATGGATGGTGTGTTCAAAATCTGATGGTGGGGAGATTTCTGGCCGCTCCTTTTCTTTCTTCTTGCTTCCTGAAAAAGACATTCAAAGATCCAGGTGTTAGGAAGAAACTCTTCCTGTGAGGGTGGGGAGGCCCTGGCACAGGTTGCCCAGAGAAGCTGTGGCTGCCCCATCCCTGGAAGTGTCCAAGGCCAGGTTGGAGCAACCTGGGATAGTGGAAGGTGTCCCTGCCCTTGGCAGGGGGTGGCACTGGATGGTCTTTAGGTCCCTTCCACCCCAAACCATCCTGTGATTCTACGAATCAACACCTTGTTCCATTCAAATAATTTATATTATGGCAGCAAGCAAATAAGCAATTAAGAGCACCAGAGTGCTCAGCTGAGCACATGAAATCTAAACTTTTTAAATGTTTACAATGCAAAAAAGGACATTTTAATATGGATTAAGAAAAGCAGTGAAGATGACTTCAGCTCAACCTCAAGTTCACCCTAAAGACACCTAAAACTCAGTTGCCTCACTGCTTCAATTCAAGTTAATTAATGCAAAGTAGGACTTCCTGCGATGAAGATAAGAGTTTATAGCCTCAGAGCAATTACCTAATTTAAATTAAAAGGAAAAAAAAAAAGGCGTAATAAGTACCAGGAGCAGGAACAGATAATTAGAAAGACCATATGCACAATCCAACCCAGATCCAATTAAATTTATAAGATGCTTTCTAAAGCCTGGGGCTTTGGTTTTTGGTTGGTTGGTTCGTTGGTTGGGGGGTTTGGAGAGAGGGTTGGGGGGTAATTTTTTTTTTTATTTTTCTGCTTTGTTTTTCAAATTCACCTTAAAATTCTTGTTGTTTTGGTACAGAAAAAGCAGGTAAAGCAGCACCCTCTTCAATACCCCACAGCAAGCAAAGATGGTGCCGCTCAGAGCCGGGAATCCGTCTGAAATCCCCTCGCGCTGGCGGGAAGGGAAGGACAGGCAGCGAGGACAATGCTCCCAAACGAAAAGCCATGTGGGCTGCTCCAGCTGAACAATGCCGTGGAAAGACACGGCTGTTATAAACAGGATATCTTTAATATGGCTGCACAGGGCAGAGCCAAAAAGCAAACGGGCTGTCAGACGTTCTCATTAACAGCGTTCAGTCATGGGACAGGAGAAACTGCTGCTGTGAAAGCTGAGGAAAGCACCATTTCCTCCCCATTTCTTCCCAATTTCTTGCAGTTGTTGACGTGAAAGCAAGGGGGGGGGGGGGAATGTATTTTAAAAAGTTATATTCCTTAGGAATGTTCCTGTTCAGGAGCACTTGACATGTAGGGAACAGGAGCTGGTGCTCAACCCCTCCAGCATGTGCTGTGTAAATAAACCCACTCCTTCCAAAAATACATAGGTCCCATGAGTAGGCAAGGCAAGGAGACTAAAAATCATTCCTCTGCCCACAGGAACAGCAGAGCAGAGCAGCACTTCAAACAAACAGCTCCTGCCAGAGGCAAGCCCGGTGAGTCATGTGCTGGCAGGACATCCTCGAGCGCTGAGAACAAGGCCACGGGGAGGCCACGCTGCTTCCCAGCCTCTGGCTGGGTCTGGAACAGCTCTGCATTGCAACAGGAATCCCTTTAGTGAAGGGCAACACTTGTTTCAAACAGCAAGTGAAAGTAGGAAGTGGTGGTCTTTTACTGATATGGGTGGGCCTGAAAGAAATGAGTCTGTAAGCAGAGAGTGAGAAGCTAGGTTGGTGGCAGCACCCCAAGAGAGACTCCAGACCTCTGAGGGTGGTGAATTTGGGTGCTGAAGGTGGCAAAGCTGGGTGCTGTCAGCTCAGGGTAGTGGCACGTGTCTGCAGCAGGTTCTGGCTTAGCCCTTCAATCCTGCACAAACTGGTGTTTTACCTTTACATTGTTGGTTGTGGGAGAAATGCCAAGATTTTGCCCCTTGGCCCTGCAGGAAGAGCAGCACAGTCCCCTTGTTCCCAAGAAGGGATGGCACACAGGTCCTCTGGAAGGATTTAGTGAGCTGGAGAAATGCTCTGTCTGATTAAGGAGGTGTCTCAAAAATACAACTCAACTCAAACACAGCTGGACTCTTCCCCAAATGAAGCCACAGGCACTCACAGCACCCAGGGCACTTCCCACAGCAAACCCATCCTCGCACATCCCTCGCTTCCCACCAGCCAAATTCCGTACACAGGGCAAAAATCACAGCTGTTTCCCAACAGCTGGTGGTAGCAGGTAGCTGACTCCAGGTGAACACCTGGAGTTACTGAGCCCCAGCTGAAACCACACCAAAATCTGCCCAGAGCCTGCACATGCACAACCCTGGGTGGTGCCCTCAGCATCCCACTGAACACGTTCTGCTCAAACATTTCTTCTTCTAGGGGGTTATTTTAAAGCTTTCCAAAAGCACACAGAGGTTCCTTTGACTTCAGAAGTCAAGCCAAGGAAATTCATGGCAATTAAGTACTCTAGTGAGAAGATGACTATCACTTCATTTATCCTAAACAATGGAACCAGGGGGAACAAACCCTCCGTGACGAGGTGATTAAATAATCCCTTCAAACTCTTATGATTATTTCAGCACAGAACGAGCTCAGACTTGGGGCAGAAACTGTGTAATTGCTACATCTCATCACCTGCAGAGAGTCCCCCAAAGCACAGCCCCTCCTCAGCTACAGAAACCTCCCAAGAGGGAGGACCTTGCAACATCATATGGACAGAGATTTTCAGACAAAGCCAAACAACGTTCATGGAAAATGGCAAGGGCATCCCTTCATTTTCTGGAAAGGACAATTTACCATTTTTGTAGTGATTTGTTAACTTTTGCACCAGCTGGAGAAATTTTTCCCCGTGGTAAAATTGCTATTCCAGGTCGACAGATTATTTTGCATCTAGTCCCAGAGTATTTTTTAAATCCAAGCAGGAAGCTAATATTTCTGTAAGGCTTCCCAGCAGCTGAATTTCAAGGAAAAAAAAGGATTTAACTGGGCATTTCTGGGGAGGGCGCATCCCAGCCATGCTAATGAACAAAACAACTACCATCTGACTATTGTGTTAGTGCCAGAAAGACACTGTGTCCAATTCTGTTCTGCTTACATTTGACAACCAGTTTTGCAGACTTGAGGGCCAAAATCCTTTCTTTGGATGTTTGTATTAGCCTTGCTGTGGGTCATCCAATAGACAAGTTTCTTCCAAATTAAAAAACAAACAAACAAACAAACAAAAAAAACCACTACACCTTTCAGATAGTTTCTTTCAGTTAGGTAATTCAATTTTCATTTTTCCTAACCACATTATCTGGACACACAGGAAAATTTGCCTTTTTTTTTTTTTCTCCAGAATTACCTGAATTAATTTCTGACATCTAGAAAACATCAACAGACATGATTTTTCTTAAAATGTATTTTTCTCAGCAGATATTATTCCTTCCACTTTTAGTTTGCAACACTAAGTATCAGTAGGTAGACACACATTCCAAACAAGTATGCAGATAATTTCCCTAAATTTGGTACCTATTAGTATTTAGAGTGGTCTGAATAAACTCAATGGGACTCCAAAGTAATCTCAGATGAGCCAGTACAACTGTAGATAATTCCACGACCACCTCCCCAGACATTTCAGCAACCAATCAAACCACCATCAAGATGGAAAGAGGAAACATCCGTGGAGAAGAAAAGGTGCTATGGAATGTCACAAAGCTCTCCAGCTGTACTGTACCCACTTGCACTCATAATTCATTTGTCTTACCAGTTCAGAGCAAGGAAAAGCTTCCTTCACATGGGGTTTATGTTCTACTTCATTATAACCCTGTCTGTGAAAAGGGTTCAGATGCTCTGGAGAACCACCAACATATGAGAAGTGTCATCCCAGCTCCTAAACCATTTTTGCCTGAAGATGGACAGATCTGATCCCCTCCCACAAAATTTCCTTGCAGCACTCATCGTGACAAACTCCAGGCATTTCCTCCCACAACCAACAATTTAATAGTAAAACACCAGTTTCTGCAGGATTGAAGGGCTAAGCCAGAACCTGCTCCAGACAGGTGCCACTACCCTGAGCCAACAGCTTTGCCACCTTCAGCACCCAAATTCACCACCCTCAGAGGTCTGGAGTCTCTCTTGCTGTTTCCAAAAGCTACACTGGCCAAAAATCCTTCTATCCTCCCAAAAGGAAAACACACCTTCTATTGAGAGCAGAAAGCCAGACTCTGGAATTAGAGGGAAGCCTGCCCCCAGGTTTTATCTCCAGGGTGAGGCATGGCTGCAAAAGGACTGCTCACACAGCTGAGCAAGCCTGAAAACCAGCCCTGGGGAGAACACTCAGCCAAGAGAATAAACAACCAGAGGAACAAAATCTCTTGAAACAACCAAACCTGTGTTGGCATGACCAAACCAGCCCTGCCCAGCACACCAGCAGCAAGGCACAGGGAGACCAGAGCACAACTAGAAGGCACTAAGAACAGCAGGGTCTTCTCCAAGGGGCATATTAACAGTGATCAGGAAAATGTTAACTAGTAGGTTAATAAAATGCTTAGCAAATACAGGTCAGGTTTAACTCCCTGTGCAGTTTTACCATCCCAGATATATCATCTGTTTCTATCTGTGCACCATTTTGTTGTACATGGATACAGACATCCTGGAGAACCAGGATTAGATTCCAGTGTTGTATATACACAAAAGAGGACAGAAAAAACACACAAACACAGTCTAGTTTCATTATAGTAAATTTTTCCCAGAAATAATCCTGATTACAGCAACCCAGGTTTTCCCCCACGAGTAATCAACCCTAACAGCACAGTTCCACAGGTAAAAGGACGTAGTTTCTCTCAGTTTTCCCTCATGCACACTGCACTTCCACCACTCTTTCTTTACTACCTTTTTTCCTTGCCACATGAATGATGATCAACATGAAGTAACTTCCAAACCAGCTGGATGCTCAGTTTAAACCAGAAATCTGCATTTAAGTGACATAATCCCCAGGAATGCCAGACATTGAGGAGGGTTGTTTGGAAATGAGTTTCTTCAAAGTGGTCAGCAAACAGGAGGAGCAATAGGTGGTGGTTTTCCAGTCCCCTGTGCTTGGACAGGCTGGACTCAGATGTCTAAAGCACTACCAAAACTTACAAGGAGAGTAAAGGAATACCTTGGGAAAGAGAGGCATCCTACCTTTTTCATTGCTGTAGAATATGGAGATGATTTTATGCCTAGGTTTTCTCTCTTCTGGGACAGAGGGCAGGGGTTTCAAGCTGTGGTTGGTGGCCAAAGGGTCTTTGCCCCCTGAACTGAAGATGACACTGCTCATCCGGACGGGAGGAGCTGGTGGCTTGTCTTCCAGTTCTCCGTTGTCAGACATGGTTCTCAATAGCTAGTGAAAGCCCTGGAAGAGAAGTGTTTGTGTTAACATAGGGAAAGTGCACAGGAACACAGGAATGTAGCATTTCTTCTGTTGGCCAAGTGGAAGGAGGCGTGAATTCAACTCTGAGGAACACAGCAGGCACTGCACTGGCAGGCACTTCCACCAAGGACGCAAATCCCTTCCTCATTCCCACTTCTGGGCCACCCATTCATTTGTGCCAGCAGCAGCATTTGTGGGATGGAGCAACAAATGTTTCCAGTTAGTGGATAAAACTAACCCAGACTAAATGAACAATTCTCAGATCTGGTTCTCTGCTCACACAAAGGACAGTATAGGTAAGGGCGCACGTACAACATCTTCCAGGGGTAGCTCTAGCCCAAAAAGCTTCATGCTCTAGTACCAAACAGCTTTAAAAGCCTTAGATGCTTTCCTTCTTGTCATTTATCAGACAAGATCTTGTGGACAAAAGAACAGCTTCTGTTAGTAAGTCACAGTTCAGCACACTGTCCACATCAAGTTGCATTAAGAATCTCTACCCATATTACACAGCCTACATTAAAGAGCACAGGACTAAGATCCACAGGGTGCCCTCCACTTCTGAATGGGGCCTTGCATTGCTTCCCCACTTGGTGCCACACTTTCTCCTCTTCTAAAAAAGCATATGTAGTACCAGCACAATCCTCTTTGAATCCTTAACAAAAACATGAGCGACAACATGGACAAACAGCAGCTAAAGCTAAAACCACAGCACAATAAAACATCTACATGACACATTCCCTATTCAAAAAAATCTGTGCTGGCATTTCCTCCCTCCTCATAATATTTTGGAGATTTTGCTCTGATCACCAGGAAACAGGCAGCCTCTCTGATACAGAGTAAATGGCACAAAGAAAGATCTACAGAAATCACCTCTCAATAACAGCTGAGTAACAAACAAGCCCCTAATTCCTCTGTTCACTCAGATGACAAGCTCACTCTGGAACAGGAACCAACACATCTCCTCCTCCTTCTCCTCTCACAACACCTTGGGAAATGAATGGCCTCCTGGTGCCTACCAACTTCCCATCGTGGTGCCAAGGCATGACTCAGTCACACAGCCACATATTATCAGTTTCATTATTCACAAGAGCCAGGACAAGACAGTGCAATCCCCTCTCAATTGTGCTACCCAACATCTCACACGACACCTGCATCCCGCCAGCAGGGCCTGAGCAGCAGAACCAAAAGCACATGGACTGTCATTCCCTGTCATTTCACAGGGTGGGTGAATGCTGACAAATCCCAACAGAAGGACACAAATCAGGCCAGCAGCCTGGACTGGGGCAGCACAAGAGCACACTGGTTTATGTCGTGAAGCTCCAGGGAGACTAAAGTTAATTATCCCCATAAATGCCCACGAAAGCACATCATTTCTGCACAAACATCTTCAGAGGCACAAGCAGCACAACACTCTTGGCAGTGCAGTAAAAACTGAACGTGTGCTGGTTGCTCCACCGACTTGGAGGCTGATGGAGAAAAGCTCTACGAACTGTGCAACACCCACCTCCACAGACCTGCCCTGGAGCCCTCTGCTGATGAGCTGATAAACAGACCTGCCACACCTGAATGAGTCTGCAGGGGTGCAGTTGGGAATTAGGCAGTGATTCCCATTCCCCAACACTCTTCCAGAGTCACTTACTGATCTCTCTCTTTCAGAGGCTGCAACTTACCTACAGGACATTCTGCATTTTCCAGTACCTACACTGCAACGTGGGGGAAAAACTTTATCCTGCAGTCCAGCAGCAGGTCTGAGCAGCCTACCCACAGGGATTTTAATTCCAAATGCTTCCCTTACAACACACTGTTTGCACCAAGTACACCAATTTGAGATGAATAAGCCAAATAAAAGGTACTCACCTTATATATATACACACAACATATCCACCAAGTCAAACTGATTTATTCAATCAAAAATGTAAAAATGTATATTAATACATACAGATATGTATGTATATTCCTAAAATAAATATATTCATACATACAGATATATATTCAAGAGTCCTACTGAAGTTGGGTTTGGAGTGATGGCAGCACAGGGGCCATAATCTATGTCCCTTCTGCTAATCAAACCTCAGAAAAGAGCAGGATAGAGGGTCCTTAGCTACCCAAGTGAGAACAGAAAGTTAAAACAAAGAATTCCTTCTTTTGAACAACTGCAATCAGACAGCTACATAAATCACAGTAGGTAAATAAGCACATCATACAGCTTCAATGCCAAAATGTTACAAACTGTGTTAAGAAAGCAACATCATGAGTAGCCTTCTGTACTTTTCTGAAACAAACACGATTATGTCCTCCACCTGTGCAGGTTTTTTTCCAGCTGTCTGATAAGAGCAAGAGCAGGATGTAAGGATAAACAACTCACCTGCATCTGAAACTGGACAAGAACAGACTTGGCCCTCCAAACCCACAATAATTCCCCCACATGCTCCGTTAGGGAGAGCCCAGTCACCAAATTAACGATGCTGTAATGTGGTATTCAGGTTACAAATAAAATAAATAAATAAATAAAAGTTAACTGCCCTTCTGTTGACATATTTTTAAAATAAAATTCTCACTCCAGTAAAAATTCTTTATTTTCAGTAACAGAAGCAGCTCACCACATACTCAGAGATCCTTGATCTGAAATAAGTTATTCCTTAACATCTTGTGTGCTCATGAGAAGAAACTGTGAAACAACAAGCTGGAAGCACGGATATGGAAATCCTAATCTATTCCAGAAGAAAATCAGGCACTTCAAGAAACTGGTGTAGCAGCATCTGAGCAGAACCCCCCGAGCCGCAGCTCCCATCAGCTGCTGAGCGTTCAAAGTGTTCAGAGGGAGCCTTGACCCAGCCCGCTCCGAGTACAGCCCAGGAGCTCCACGGGAGGAAAACAAACCATGGGGCTGGTGGAGCAAACTGGAGTGGCAGACAGAGCCCAGGCATCAGCTTCCCACCTGAGGGACCGGCTCCTTCCAGCTCATTAAATCCGCGGTTTAGGAAAACCTCAGCTTTAAGGAAAAACTTCAACTGTGATTTGTTTAACAGCACTAGTAGTGAAATTTCCGAGCGGCTGCTTCAAAGATCATTGTTGAAACAAAGTGCTAAATTCACACCTAGTTTGCACAAAGGCCTATTTGAATGCACGGCAGCTTTGAATTCATGATTTAAATAAATCACACAGCTCCACTTACACTCCAGGAAGCAGAATTCCAATCCTTCAGTCACCATCAGAGGTGAAAAAAATCAATCATTTTGTCCAGGTTCAAATCCAAACAGCTCTTTCTCTTCTACTCTCAGCTAAAGAAAAGAGCAGTTCCCCTCTCCTCTATTCTTACCCTGACTTCATCACGCCAGGGAAATTTCCACGGCGTCAGGAAGTACTTCGGAAATTGCTATGAAGGTTTGGCATTATGGGCAACAACTGGAGGAGGGACTTTAAAAAGGGGAAAAAAATAAAAAGAAGAGTGCAAATACATCCCGAAGCTCCGTTTCTGCTCTCTCAGCCAAAGAGGAGAAGGAGCCTGTTCAGATCACAGCAGCCAGAGGTAATCACTTCTGCATCACCACCCCCGGGTGCCTGTCCTGCTGATTCATGCCTTGTGCAGGGAATGGCAAGGACACGGGGAATTTTTTTCCCCGTGCCTGCCCCACAGTCTGTAACCCAGCAAAGGAGATGTCAGGTTCATATTTCTCTGACAGAATCAGACAACACAATTAATGGTGGGGGTTTTTTAGGCTTGGCTGGAAGACGTTGACTAAAATAGTTAACCTGAGTTTGAGCGACCTCACAGAAGTATGTTAAAGGTAACATGTGGAAGAGGGATCCACTTTCATCTTTGCCAGTGAAGGAAATACCAGTAATAATAATGTATTCAAGCACATCAGCAACTCCCCTACAGTCACTGTTTGCACTACATTTAACACAAGAACTAGAAAGCAATGGGTTGAACCACAGAGACGAGCTGTGAAGCTGCAAATAATACTTAACTACAGCCTTCAGACAGATTCAGTCCCACCACAGGACAGCACTGCAACCCGCTACACTCTCCCCCCAAAAAGGCACGAAGAGAGCTAAAAGCTTTTCTCCCCACAGTTCTGCTGCTTAATCCACAAAACACATCCACAGGTGGCAGTGCCGGAGACCACAGGGCCCTCTAACTCTCAACCCTGATGCCCAGTATATGACACTCCCCCAGCTGCTGTCCCCTCCTTTTGACAAAGGAGCACTGAGGCAGCAAAAATGAAAGTACTCTCTCCAGCCTTAGCAGCCTCAGGCACCTTCTCAGTACCCACTGCAGCAGCTGAAGAGCAAATGTGCTCTTCTCCACTGCAGAGTGTCCAGACAGGGTCTGTGCTGTCTAAATCACTCACCAGCAAGCTGGAGACCCAAAGCCAGGCTTCTCACAACTACAGTTCCTCTCTCGATGAATCATTTTGGTTGGGAAAGATCGCTCTGATCACCGAGTCCAACAGTTAACTCAGCACCATCAACCATCCCACCTTTGCCCGGTGAGGGTGAGGCAGGACACAAACACACAGGGAGCAACTTGTGTAGCTTAACCCACTCTGCTGCTCCCAGTCCCTGCAGAGACCGCACTGACTGATCTGCACGCGTGTTGAGTTTCATTTTTACAATCTACACCCTGATGCTCACTATCTTTCTTCCTTTTGGGGGTGATAAGGGCCCAACAACCCACGGCATACCCAGGTCACAGGACCAACAGCAGTTCCTGTCGCTGCCACTGGTGGGAAAACACCCAGAAACAACCCTGACAGCGAGTAAAAACTGGAAAGTAGAGTGAGAACTGGGCAGTGTTTTCAGAAAGCCGACAGACACACACTGCTGCAGCACCTTAGTCTGAATGCTCTGGCTTTGACTTGCTTTTCTGTTGTTTCTCCCCCCCAGTTCCCCCTTGTGCGAGTGTAAAGCTGGGCTGCTTCCTGAAGAACTTCCTAAGCCTGGCTCTTGTGTCAGGCCTGGCTCCCCTGGGCTCCCTC